ATCAAGGTGAGGGAGGAAGTGCTTTGGATCGACGGAGCCTAGACCGCTAACATCCCGGTAGCCTGGTAGCAGTCCCATAGAATTTGGCTGATCAGCTGAGGCTGAGTTACGGATGACAGAGACTCAATCGTCCGATTGAAGAATGATTGGATACGAACGGCGCTCAGTCATCTGAACGATGGCTAGTAATGTCACAGGAGTCTGAGAGAAGTTGGAAAGCAGGAGACCAAACAGACGAGACAGGATTAGTCGGCGAAACGACATTGAGTCCAACAGCTAATTTTAGGAGGGCAAATGGAGTGGGTCGAGAGGTGGAGGTGACTATATAAATAGAGGGTGAACAAGTCTAGCAGGCTGTCAACGTAAGTGCGATATAGCTTGAGTCTACAGAGTCTAGACCGTTTAAATGTTGCTGGTCTGGAAAGGGTCAAAGAAGCAGACCGGTCAGATGAGACTAGGTTATTACAGGGCACATAGTTGGCAGTCCGATTAGAGAAGGTTTGAAAGTAGAGAACGTCATAAGGAGACGGTCCGGATAGGGAGAGGTTTACTTATAAGGTGTGGAAAAGTCCATGGGGCTCGAGAGGTAATGGGGACAGAGCGTTCGCACTTCTCATTCAATGCCGGTAACGTCACAGCAGTCTGAATGAATTCGGAGAGCAGGGGACCGATCAGACGAGACTGGATTAGTCGGCACACTTAGAGTAAGTAGTACAGTTGAGGTGGGAAGGTAAATAAAGAGTCAGCGGAGACGGATGGGTTGGGATGGAAGAGGTTTTATGTATATAAGGCATGCAACTCAGGCAGGCTCGCAGTGTGAGAGAAAGGTGTGTTGGTGAAGCAGAGCCTAGAACTGAATTTCTGTAGTCGAAGAGGATAATAGAGCAGGGCACTGAGAGCACGCTCTCCGGTTTAAGAAGAAATAAAGGCAGAGCGCGATAAGTAGAGGACTGAGTCGAGAGTTTACGTTTACGGATAAGAAATGCCATAAGGAGAGGAGACGGTCCGGATATTGGGAGGTTTACTTATAAGGTGTGAAAAGTCCATGGGGCTCGAGAGGTAATGGGGACAGAGCGTTCGCACTTCTCATCCAATGCCGGTAACGTCACAGCAGTCTGAATGAATTCGGAGAGCAGGGGACCGATCAGACGAGACTGGTTAAGTCGGCAAATTGAGAGTAAGTCGAACAGTTAAGGAAGGAAGATATATAAAGAGTCAGCAGAGACGGATAGGTTTGGGATGCAGGAGGCTACATGAGTATAAGGTATGCAAGTCAGGCAGAAGTCTGAGAGAAGTTGGAAAGCAGGAGACCGACCAGACGAGACAGGATTAGTCGGCGAAACGAGATTGAGTCCAACAGCTTATTTTAGAAGACAAATAGGGAGGGGCAGCAGAAATGGACAGGAATAAACTGCATAAATGTAAGCGATTCCAGCAGACTGTCAAGGTGTATTAGGCTTAACATTGACTGCAGGTCCCAGACCATTTGCAACTCTGTAGTCATGGATGCAGTCAGACTGGTCAAATGAGACTAGGTCATGCAGGGCACTGAGTTGCCATCCGATTGCAAGAGAAATGAAAGGAAAGAGCGCGATAAGGAGCGGACAGTTTGGGAAGGAAGGGAGCTTTATTAGTGCTGATTGAAGAATTTGTGTCTATATGTGATCGGGGCCGTTCTCCCAGAGCTCGTCCTCGGGGATGCAGATGCCCAGGATCTCGGCTACCTTGGGGACGCTTAATAGTCTATATATGGCCGTGGAGAATTGCGTGATACTATCAGATGCTCTGACGGCTTCCGGTAGCTTATTCCAGACATGCGCATATCTATAGAGGAAGAAGTTAGAACGTATGGAGCAACGTGTGTTGGGTAGGGAAAATGAGTGTGCCTTATGGCGTAGAGGATAACGTGTATCGCCAGGCGGCTGAAAAAAACTAGCGGCACTTGAGTGCGATATTTTGATTAGCTTATATAGGAAAACAAGGTTGGTTTTGAGACGTCGCAGCCAAAGCGGTTCCAGACCAAGCTGCTTGCAGCGGCCTTGATAGTTGAGCGCAGACGCTCCTAATAGACGTTTAGTGAACGAACGCTGGACTTTCTCAATAACCATCCTGTCACTTTTACGTGAGTTAGTAACAACCATTGAGCAGTACTCTACTATAGGCCTGGCACACAACTTATAGAGCATGAGTCGAGACTCTAACAAGCACATCGACTTCAGTATATAACCAATGATAGACCTGGCTTTGGCAGAGCTATAGCTCGCTTGTTCCGCAAAATTCAATGAACAGGAATAGTGTACACCGAGATCGCGCACAGTGAAGCTGTTATCAAGTGGTGTACCGTTAAGAGTTAATAGTTTGGGGGGTATACAGCATCGGTAGGAAAGGACGTTGCATTTCGTTGGTGAAAACTCTAGTTTCCATAGATCGCACCATGTTTCAAGAGCACTGAGATCGCTTTGAATGCTAGAGAGACTATTACGTAGACAGCTAGGGTCAAATGAGAAAATAACTTTTATGTCATCGGCAAAAAGGTACGGCGTGCCGTGTTTGAAGACCTGGAATACATCATTAATGTACAACAAAAACAGCAGAGGACCCAGGACGCTGCCTTGGAATACTCCGCTGGTTACGGATGCCTTTTTGGATGAGATGTCGCCCAGTTGCACTGACTGCGTTCGGTTGGAAAGGTAGGAAGAAAACCATGAAAGGAGATGGCTGGAGACACCGTATGCTGCTAGTTTAGTCATTAAACCATTGTGTGGGACCCGATCAAACGCTTTTTTCATGTCCAGGAAGATAATAACCAGTGCCTGACCTAGGTCGATGGAGTGTGTCACGTGGTTTAAGAATTCAAACTGGCAGGTTTGACAGGATTTAGTCGGCAAGAACCCGTGTTGGGACCTATTGATAAGGTTGCGTGGCAACAGAAAGCAAAGCATCGCGTCCTTTATTATTCTTTCCATGAGTCGAGACGCAATAGCTGTGTGACTAATGGGACGATAATTGTCAATATTTAGGCGACAGCCTCGTTTGTGTCGTGGTATGACGGTTGCGTGCTTCCAGCTGGACGGGTAGTGACCACTCTTCATTGAGAGGGTGAAGACATTGAGGAGAAGGACTGGAATGTCCGGACCTCCGAGTTTTAAAATGGAAGAAGGCATACCGTCAGGACCTGGGTAGTGTGACAGTTTCAACAAGCAAAGCGCTCGCTTGATAGTGCATAAGTCAAAGTCAATAGTATGAATTTGATCTTCAGTGAACTTGGGAATCGTATTTGGCAGTGCCAAGTCATTGCTAGTGAAGGAGTTACAGAAATGTGTGTTAATGAACTCGCAGAGATCAGCCGCACCAGTGATTATACTTTTATCAGGAAGCACTAAGGTAGTAATCGGGATATCTTTTCTGCCACCCCGCTGCTTCAGTAGTCGAATGAGAGACTTTGCTTTGTTTTCAGTACAAAGCGCTGCATGCTCTACTAATGTACGCGCAGTACTTTGTGAATTTCTCCAGTCGACTAACAATTCGTTCATACGGATGATTAGGTGAAAGCTTTTCGTCTTGATGTAGCGGGAGCGCATTTTCTTGAGCCTGCTGGTCAGTTTGCGTGTGGAAGTGTCATCAAGATCTTGACGCTTTTTGATTTTCTTCTGTTTTGGAGTAAGGACATCTAAGCAGTTAGTGAGATTGTTGCAAAGCACCTTTGTCGCAGTATCTATGTTGTCGGAGAGGAAGAAGTCGTCCCAGGGGATGATCGGAGGAGGGAGGAGAAGATGTCCCAGTTAATGCGCTGGAGGGGCCGAAATATCTCATATTTCGTGACTGCATGTAGACGGGATTTAGGGAGCGCGAAGGACAGCTTCACCACCTTGTGATCGCTGCCCGGTATGTTGTCTAACACGCTGGCGCACGCGTGCGAGATGCCGTTAGTGAATATGAGGTCCAGTGTGTTCGATTGTCTAGTCGGTGCAATCACATGCTGTGTCCATTCATGAGTGGAAATAGTGTCAACAAGGGCCCTATACTTGGGTGGGGCCGACTGTCCGAGCCACGAAACATGAGGCATATTGAAGTCTCCAGCAATGATCTTAAAGCGTGAAGGGAGAAATGAGACTTCCTGAAAGAGTCTGTCCAATTTGTTAACGCTGCCCGCCCCCCCCACACGCGAGCACGCCCGCATCGCCGCCCTGGACCACGCTCCCCCCTTGACCGGTCCCCCCCCCGCCCCCTGTCCACACCCACGACCTCCGCGGCACCCACGACCCCCACCCCCCACCCCCGACGCGCGGGCCCCGCCACAAGCTCCCCCAGTCTCCGCCTCCTGCACGCCCCCCCCCACCCGCACACCCCCCCCACGCAACTCCCCACAGTGCCCCGCGCCCCACGCCGACCAACCCCCCCCCCCCCCACCACAAGGGGCGCACCGATCCACAAAACCCCCCCCCCCCCACCTCGCGTGCCCCCCCCAATCCATCACCCTCCCTCACCGCGGCACCAACCCCCCACCATGCCCCCCCAGGTCACACCCGCCCACACAGCACGCAACACGACGCCCCCCCAACAACCGCCCGCCCCGCCACGCCACCCCCCCCCACCTGCCCCCCTACTGCGTGGCCCACACCCAACCCCCACGCACGCATCACACCCACACTCCACACCCACCCCCTGCATTCACTGTCCCCCACTCAGCCCCCCCGCCACTCCCCCACCCTCCTCCCTCCCCCTCCCGTACCTAGGCCTTATGACCCCCCCTTTCCACAAGGAGCGACGAACCCTCCACCACTGCCCCACGCCGTCCTCTCCCCACCACACCCCCGCCCCCTCCTCGCCAACCCGCATCCCCCCACCGCCTCACAGAGCACCCGCCCTCCAGCTAGTACCACAAGCGGCTGCAGTCCCAAGGTACCCCCCTCGCGCACACCTCCATTCCCCCGCTGCACCCCCCACTCCCTCCCCACACCCCCACGCAACAATGCCTCCACTCACGCCCATCCTGCAGGTCACCCTCCCAGCGGCACGCTCCCCCGCTCAGACGCGGCCCCCACCCCATCCCCTCCACCAAAGCACCAGACGCCCGCCCCCCCCTCTAGCCAAGCACCTAGAATAGGCCCCGCCCTCCCAACACCCACGCCATCACACCGTCCTACCCCCAGCCCCCTCTCACCGTTCCCACCGCGGAAGCGAGCACGCCAAAGCCCCCCCCGCCCCAACGCCCCCCACCCCCGCACTCCTAAACCGGCCCCCCCCCCACCACGCCGCGCCTTTGGCCACGGGCACACGCCCCCCCCAACCCCCCTGCCAGCTCCACCCTCACCCCACATCCTGCGCCCCCCCGCAAACACACAGCCACCACACCCCTCGCACTGGTCGACATGTCCCGCACTACAGTCACAGTACACAAGAGGGCCCACACCCCCCCCGACGCCCCACCCCGACCCCGTCCACGTCCACCCCCCATCACGAATCGCGCCCTTTGCCCCCCCATAACGGCCTCCACCCGACACCGGCTCCCCGGGGCCGTGTTCCCTGCCTCCGAGCAAACCCCCACCTCCCGGGAACGCCTCCACTCCGCATCCCAGGCCCCCCCCCCCCCGACACCCCCCCCCCCCTCCCGTACCCCAGCCCTGCGGCCCTCCTCCACCCCCAAGGCCCCGGCCGCCGCTCGCTCCTCCCACAGGCTCAGCTGTCACACCCGCCTCCAACCTGGCGCTTCCCCACTCGGGCGCTCACCACCCCCCACACCCCCCGCCCCCCACCCCCATCCCACCCCCCAGGTTGCCTCCGAGGTCCCCCCCAACCGCAGCACATCCGGCTCCGGCACCCCCCGCTCCCCCCGACCCGACGACCGCCCCCCCTCCACCCGATCCCCCTGTCCCCCCGACACCCGCTCTTCCGACCCACCGCACCCATGCACACCCCCCTGGCTTCGCGCTCCACCCCACCACCCTCCCCCAGCACCGCCACGGCCCCCTGCTCATCCCCCTCCCCCTGCCACACACCCCCCCCCCGCACGGCACGATGCAACCATCCTACCCACCCCGCGCGTCACCCCCCAAACCCACATACCCACCCCCTCTGCCAGCGCCCCCCCGTGCCGCCACCCCCCCGAACCTACACGCGCAGCCCACCCCCGCGCCCCCCCCCACCGCCCTGCCCCCACACCACCTCTGCCCACACCACTCCCATGCCCCACAAGCCACGCGCCGCGCCGCCGAACCCCCTTCCCACACTAGAGTCGGCCCCTCACATCCACCTTCCCTCGTAGGCGCTCCTGCCACGCCGTCCTTCGCCCACACCCCAGCCCACTCCCCCCACCCCCCGCCCCTTCACCCCCAGCCCTCAGCCGACCCCCCTGCGCGCGGCTCAGATTATTACCATCACTATCTTATTCAACACACACCACCCGCCCCAGCGCGCGCACCCTCCCACCACGCATGCGCGCCGCCGCTCGGAACCCCACTCGCATAGGCACCCCCCCCCCCGCTCCCGTTCGTCAGCGCTCCCCATGCACCCACCCCTGCTCCCGACACCCGCCCTCAGTAGCTGCGAAGCATCCGCCTCACCCGCGCCCCACCACATTGCCGGCTCCTCCTCCACGCCCTGCGCCGCAAACCGCCCCCCCTTCCCCCCCCTACCCGGCGCCACCGCAGCAACTGATAAACCACCCCGACCCCTCCCCCCCCCCACATTCACGCCGCCAGGCGCAGCCCCTCCCCCGCCGCCCGCCACTAGGCTCCCGGCCCCCCCCCCCCAGCCCCCGCCCCTCCCTCACACCCGCCGTTTCCCCCCACTTCTCCCCCGCCCCACCACACCCCCGACCCCCTCCCTCCCACGCCCCGCCAGACCCTCATCCCCCACAGGGGCCCCCTTCCTCCCACCGACCCCCACTTAACCCCCCCGCCTCGGCCGGGCCCAAACAAGAGCCAAGGCCCTGCCGCCCCCGAAAACCCGCGACGCGCTTCGCTCCCCACCTCCCCCCCCCCCCTCACTGGAATCGACCCCGGGCTCCCCCATGGGCAGCCTCAGCCCCTCCGCACTCAGGCAAGCCCGCACCCCCCAAGTGCCCCCCCGCCACCTCGCCGCCCGACCCCCCACCCCCCGCCTGCAGCCCCCCCCGCCGCAACCCGCCCCCCCTAAGTGCCACCCCCACCACAAGAGGAGTGCGGTGGATTATATAAACAGCCTATCAAGAGGTCCGGATGATCTCCAACAGCCTGAATCCAGACTGAGTCTTCAGCGTTGCCAAGAGATATAGTGTGGAAAGATGCTGCGTAAAACTCGTTCTTGACGTATATGAGGCATCCGCCACCACGTTTACTGGCACGTCCATTACAGAAAGTGGTGTACCCTGGAATGTGGAGCAGTGCGTCAGAAGCGTCGGCCGAGTGCCATGTTTCTGTTATCAACACCGTTTGCGGGCTTGACAAGGGGATGAAGGGGCCTAGAAGGCGCATTTTATTTTTAATTGATCGTATATTGAGGAGGAGGAGGAGAGTGTACGAGTCGTATTCGCATTGTCCCGTCATTGCGTCTTCAGATTCTGTAGTAGGGTAGTAACAAGACAGTGGTGGAGGCGTTTCCGATGCACTGGAATCTACAGTTCCCGGGTTGCATACATCAGGCGATGTGGCAGCCAGTACTGGGGCTACTGGTATGGGGACAACCCCTACAGGTGTAGGAGTCAGAAGATGTCGGCGAGGGAGGGTGTGTGTGCTTGAATAATGTGACGTAGCGGGCCGTGTCCCGGCAAGCTTCATAAGAGGGGGGTTGTGACAGGCTGGAAAGATTTGGGCAGCTCTATCTGCATTGGCAAAAGTTGACATGGTGCCCAGGATGTGGGGTAACAAAGGCGCGGAATGGTGTGGATATGGGGACAGACCCTTAGATGTGTTCAAGACAGAAGCTGGAGCCGGAGTGAAAGTGGAGTGTGAATAGACAGCATCAGGGCGAAAAGAAGACAAGTAGGTGCTAGTTACTTCGCTAGCAACCTGATGAAGAAATGGGTAGTGTGGAAATCGGTAACTGGCAAGGCATTCTGTCTGAGTTGGCATGACGTTGGATTGTTCAGGAGAACGTTCGTAGGTGGAATGTTTGAAGGTTACCAAATGTGGGTCGGTAGAAGGCAGCCATGAAGTTGAGACTGGCTGTAGACTGTTGTTTGCAGAATGTGCAAGAGTTGTGCTAGATGGAACTGTATTGGTTGATATCCATAAGGCGGGCCGTGTCCCGCATTGCTCCATAAAAATGGGGTAGAATTCTTGGGGGCTAAGTTAAACTGCCTTGGAGGAGGTGCGTATTTGGCCTGGTTTGTACGGTCGTCTTGCGTAGACGTCAGTGGCGCAGGTAGGTAACTCGCCTTATTAAGTAAACCCTTCGCCTGCGTCCGACTACGCTTCGTCCGCGACATATGAAGCTCATGTGATCGCAAGTGAGCGGTGATGCGACTAGAAATGACTTGTCTAGCAAGTTGCTTCGCCGGCGCGAATGGTGTATGTAAAACTGTATGGAGATATGGTGAAGTGGCGCTGCTTACACTGGTACGGTTGCGGCCGCGATCGAGCCCTGTGATGTGTGGTTTTTCAAGTAGATAAGGCTTGTGAGGTGAGAAGATGCGTTGAGGTATTACCACACTCGTAACTGAAGGTGACTTTTGCGGCGATCTGGGCTCCTATTCATGTGCACTGTGATTATTGGATTTGACGGTGTGATGGTACCACATTGGCTTTGATAGTCGTGCTTTGTGGCTATCTCTGTTGTTAGGTTGGCGTGAGTTTTTCAAGGTTCTCTGAGTTGGGAGCCAAGTACAACTCTTGGATCCGTTGTTGTCATGGTCCAGCAGAACGGAAGAATCGGGCTTTTCAAGTAGATAAGGTTTTCGGTGAGGGATGCCTTGGGGCGTTACAACATTCATAAATGGAGATGATGGCTGCGGGTATCTGCTCTTCAATGCTTCTGCGTTGTGAATATTGGAATAGGCGTTGTTTCTGTGCCACGCAGGGGTTGAAAGCCATGCTTTAGAGCGTTTCTTGTTGTTGGCTTGACGTGAGTTGTTCGAGGCTCTTGGGGTTTTAGGCCGATTGCGACTATTAAGCTGATTGTTGTCAATAGGCAAGTAAACAACAGAATCAGGCTTATAAGTCTGGCCTACAAGGCCAATAGTAGACTCGACACTCATGTCCGAATCGCTATGTGACATAGCACTTGCAGTATCAACGGCAATAGCAGAGAGTGAGGGTGAAAACGACCTGTTCAATGCAGGCTGAAAGAAGCTTCCTGTTATGATGGGTTTCGCGGTAAGATAGTGTTTCTTCGTAGGGTAGGTGACAGCAGGCAGTGGAGTATCCAAGTTGGATACCCAGTTAAGAATGCAATTAGATGGTTGACCAGGTGCGGCATGAGTGTCATGCATGTCTGAGTGGCCATAAGTCACATCGCTAGAAGAATTGAGGGTTATAGCAGCCAATGCAGACGAAGATCCTTCATTGACTTCAGTCCAAGGCAAGCTTCGCACCGTTGCAGATTTCGCATCCAAAGTGAGACTTTGTTTTGGAGACAAATCGAGGCCTATCGCTGGCACGATGGTCGGTTTAGCCGAAGATTTTGCAGATGGGTCAATAAGAGCATTGCGTTTGCCCTCTGGCTTGGTTGACGACATTAAGGATCTTTGAAGTGGGGTTTTGTCAGGTTTAATGATAATCGGCCCAAGGTTTGCCACCTTGGACACAATCAGCCTACGGCCTATAAATGTTTCAGCAAGTTGTGGAGTAGGGAAAGTCAAAACTATGGAGCAAGTGCGAGTTTTACCAGACTTGCGTAGCCGTTTGCATGCACAGCAATCTGGTGGTGTGTTGCATGCACTTAAAAGAGAACGTTTCACTTTTTCAAGTGACAAGCGATCAGGTACGTTGAATATGACGGCATTCTGGGAACGACGTACACGTTCCGTTACTTCGTCGCTAAGTACTGCTAATAACACGCCAGCGGCGTTCAGTTCATTTGGGTTATCAGTTTTCATTAATCCCGACAGCACCGACAGTGGTTTGAGGTTCTCCAAATTTGCAGTCATCGTAAGCAGCTCACTTTTAAGCATGCTAAGCTCATTTTCTAATTGGTGAATTTTGACTTGAGCTGCGTTAAGTGGGTCATCAAGCATGACCCTACAATCCTTCACCACGGATGAATATGCTGAGGGTGCTCTCGTTGCTACTGTCTGCACTGCTCTCTTTGAGGAGAGAGAGGGATTACAACGTTTAGCACGCATTGGTCAGGAGTAAACAGAGAATGACAAAGCAATAGACAGCGTAAAAACCGTAAAAATGGGTAAGACACGGAAAATGACGGAGGGTTGCAAAAGCGACGAGGGAGGTAGTAAAGAATATATAGTGCTACTGATTAGTAACACAAAAAGACCGACAAAGTGGCTATCCGCAATTTTTGAAAATCTGAACAGCAACGCGAAAAATACGCACCGTTTCAAATTCGCGCCAAGGACTCGCTGCAGCTGAAAAGTGGTGACATGGGTAGTACGAGGAACTGGTAATGATACTAAGGGAGAGAGAGTATCGAGGGCTGGCAACGGCATTGTGTTGAAGCCTTCTAGTAGCTAGTGGATACCTGGAGTGTCCCAGAACACGTCAACAGACAGCAAATGTGTGTGATGGAGGCAGTCTCAAAGGATGAAGGTTGGAGTTAACAGAGAGGGGCTTTGTGCAAGCTTCGGAGATGCTTGGAGCCTACGACCACAAGTTGCTACTAAATAGATGTTGAGGTTAATATGGTCGACAGATTATGGCGCTATGAAACTCTTTCAGTGGTCAGACCTAGCCATCCTATTAAGCAGATTGGTCGCTAGTGGACCACCAGTGCCTTCATAATTTAGCTCACACCTGATGGGAACACCGCGTAAGCAACGACCGTGTTCGACGCCTTGTTTATGGCACAGGAAAAGGAAATGAACCGCTCAGCACCGTTATTTCACGCATCAGGCTCCGATGGCTCGGCCACGTGTTACGCATGCTAACCCACCGACTTCCGCGACGTGTGTAGTTCGCACGTCGGTGGTGTGGATGGATAAAGAGGAGGGGTGGCCAAGCGATGACTTGGCCCAGAGGTATGAAGGCCCTCACTTCTGAGCTGGCCTCGGTTGGAGCGTTCCGGCTCCCTGGTTGGGGTCCGAAAGACGATGAACACGTTTGGTTGGACACACGTGCTGATATGGCTAGGAGCCGACCTGTGAGTTTCTTTGTCCAACCCCATCCCTCTTAGCCTCCCCCTCCAACCACGATCTCATTAGTTAGCCTTATATAATTTTGCATGATAATTTTTTGGATGCACAGCAGCCGGCTAATAGCTTTCCGGAACGATGCCCATCCGTTACCGGTAGCTCAGCCGGCTTGCACCAGTTGCTTTTTTTCTCCTTTTTTCTATGTATTGCGGCACAGTAGCTGAGGTGTTCCCCACCTCTAGCTAACGTGTATGATGATGATGCTATGATGATGGTCGCTAGTGGATTCCTACATTGTCACAGAATACATCAGCAAGCCATCAAAGGTAAGTGATACAGGCATTCCAAAAGATAACAAGGTGGAGAAACAAAGAATGTCTCCTAGTAGCGCTGGATATTCGCAAAGATGTATGGAGCCTACAACGAATCACTGAGGAAAACGTGATGAAAATAAGAGGAACGAAGGATAATGGTGCTAAGAGAGAATCAGTGAACAGCAACATAATTTGCATTAAGCCTTCTGATTCTTAGTGGATACTTACAGTGACAGAGGAAGTCAACGAACAAACGAAGGTATGTGATGCAACAATTTAAGAGAGTAAATGTTGCAGAGATAAGTTATGGCTCCTAGCGCAAAGAGGTGTGCTGCCTACAAGGGCTCGATGTAG